TTTTGCAGTATGCTCCTCATATTCCCTTTTTGCCTACCTGATCACAGACTTGCATTTTATTTGCCGCAGCCTATGTTCCCTTTTATCAGCCTCACTGAGACTAGCTTTTGACCGCTTAAAGGAATCCTTCTTACCTTTTACAGCTTCCATTACTTTGTTTGTTAACCATGCAGGCCTTTTTCTATACCTATTTGTGCCTTTCCTAACCTGTGGTATATATTTTATCTGAACTTCTAGGATTGTAGTTTTAAATAGTCTCCAAGCTTCCCCAGTGGTTTTGACCCTTTTTACTTTTCTTTTCAGTTTCCTCTTCACATAGCCTCTCATTTCAGAGAAGTTACCCCTTTTAAAGTTTAAAAGTGGTTGTGTCGATCTTTTTGGGCAACTCCCTATTTATACAAATGTTGAACTCAATTACATTATGGTCACTGTTCCCAAGCGGTGCAATCACTTTTACATCTCTCCCATGGTCTTGGGTGTTACTTAGGACCAAATCCAGGATCATCTCTCCCGTGGTAGGTTCTGTGACCATCTGCTCCATAGCACAGTCATTGAGTGTCTAGAAACTCAATCTCTTTTTCCCGACTTGAACACATATTGACCCAATGTGTGGGTAGTTAAAATCACCTATAACGACACAGTTATTTCGTCTAGCCACTATCTTTAATTCATTCATCATTTTATAATCCTTCTCTATCTTTTGATCTGGTGGGCAATAATAAACTCCTAGTGTTAAGCTTCCTTTTGGGCCCACTATTTAGACCCATAGCATTTCCTTAAGCAAATCCATTTCCCTTCTCAGTCTTACTGGACTGTATACCCTCTCTGACATACAGAGCCACCCCACCTCCAACCCTTGCCCCCCATCCTTCCGATATAGTTTATAACCAGGAATCATCGTATCCCACTGATTTTTTCCCCTGCTCCATGCCTAGAAGATAGCCAGAAATAAAACCCTTCCATCATGCCTGGCCAAACTGGCCCAGAGGAAAATTGCTTCCTGACCTCAAAGTGGCGATCAGCATTTCCCTGGGCCTGTAAGAACTCAGGGCCACGAGAACTAAGCCCTGAGGCAACCCTTCCTGCCCTCCTCCCTCTCATGACCTGCCGAAGTTCACAGAATCCGCATTGCTGTCAGATGGCCATCTAGCCTCTGCTTGAAAACCTCCAAAGAAGGAGAGCCCACCACCTCCCGAGGAAGCCTGTCCCACTGAGGAACCACTCTAACTTCCTAATATTCAAACGAAAACTGTGCACGTGGAGCAATGGAATGTCCATCCAGTGGGTCACTAAGAGTGAATATGCTGGCCCTGCTCTCTGTCTCCGTGTGAGTGCCTGGTCACCCACAGGGTGCCACCTCATGGAGGAAGTGGCTACACACACTCCCTCACTTTGGGGCATACACCCAGCCCCCTTTCGTCACATGGTCACCTATCTAGACAGTCAGGTGGCCGCAGGGAGAGAAGGGGCGGAGCACCCAGTGAATGGGTCAGGCTGTCTTGCCTATCAGGTTTGTGAGGAGGAAGTATCAGCCTGATGCTAGACTGAACTGTACTGTGACGTGTGGTGGCTCCTCCCGGCCTGGCCCAAAGTGGTTTCCATTCAGGGGCAGGGTCATTTATTCATCTTGCACTGAACTGGAACGAATTAAAAACTGGCGCAAATCATTCTTTCCCCTTCTTAGGCCTTCCAAGCACAAGACAAGGCAAGAGGCTGGTTATTTTCTTCATGTAAAGAACAGCATTTTCAGTCTAGAGATGTGCAAGCCTGGAGGGAAACAAGAAAATTCGGGGGGGAGGGGGTGTTCCTCCCCACTTTTTTTACCAGGCCCCCCCTCCCCCATTTTTCTGATAGGAAAGGCGCCTGGGCACCAGTGGCACCGTCCGGCCTTGGCATGAATCGCCCACTGAGGGGACCTGGGCTCCCAGCCGCCCTTCGCTGCACTGTCATTCCACAGCCTTACCTCACGCCCGCGTCTCCCGGTACCCAGCGTCTGCCTCCCACAGGGACCGCTTTTACTCCCTTGTGTGCCAGTGGGGGGGGGGGGTAGCCATTTGCCCACTGACTGCCCTCCCCTTTCTCCTGTTGCGCCTTTTAAAATAGTGTGCCTGAAACAATGGAGATCTAAGTGGTACAGAGAACCAGCATTAAAAGCTATAAGCCATTTATTACAAAGAAAATGTCCACACGCACAGGCTCAGCAGAGCAATAGATAGAGCCAGGGATCCAAAAGAAAAGTATACAGCACAGTCCCTCTGCCCCTCCCTCTGTACGTGCCCTGGTGGGCATTGACCTAAGGCCGGCTCTTTAGTTACAGTGGGTGTCAAGCGCTGCCATTCCCTTGGGGCCTCTGCCCAGGCCTGCGGTCCTGCCCGTGGCAACAGCCGACCTCAGGCAAGAGTTCTGCCTGCATGAATGGAATCAGCCTGGAAGAGCCCCTCCTCCTCCTTGTGCCCAGGAGCTTTGTCATCTCTCATTCCCCTCTCTCTGGCCAGGTCAAAGAAGCTTTTCTTGAAGTCTCCAGGAGGTTTATTTTGAAGTCTTTTTTGCACCTTAAGTCCTCCAAACCCTTGTTCCCTGCTAGGTGTCACCTTTCTAGCTGGAGGTGTGTGAGAGAGACTTGACCATCTCACTGTATCTGGTCAGTCCTATATCATTTGCATTTCTAAAGCCCTGGTGGGTAAACTTGGCAAGCAACCCCCCCACCCCACCCCCGCCACTTGTACTCTGCTAAGACAGGAAAACTTTTTTAAAACCTAAGGTGAAGGTTTTGCTCAG